TTATAGGTTATAAGGAATAAATCGACATTTCATTAACTTACGCCGCAATTTGTGGTTGGCCCATTCTCCATATAAAAAGAAATTGTCTCCTTTTCCCGACAAATCGATTTTAAAAGGGTTTTAACGGCTCCATGTCTCAGTGGCCTAGCATGAGTTGCGACGCTGAGGGCGCCGGGTTCGAATCCCGCACGGAACAAGTATTTGTATGGGCTACAAATAATTGTTCAGGGTGTGGATGTTCGTGTTTGTTGTGCAATATATGTTTCTAAACTGGCTCCACGATACATGAGAAAATCCTAGTGTAACGTTTAAAAAAAAGAGAATAAAAATATATAAATAAATTGGATTAACTAACGAAATGTTACCTGACCATAATGTTTTAAACTAAAATTACGTACGATGAGTCATTCCGTCGATTAGCTGGTACAAATGTGCCCATATTAGCAAAGCCTAGTACTTAGTCGTAAGCATATATGTTAGTATATATTTAGATTGTGCCGTGAAGTGGCGGTTAAGAATATCCACTACCCTATATCTTCCCGTGGGTGTCGTAAAAGGCGACAAATGGAAACAGGCAGGAGAAGGGCAGCAGCATCTTCCTGATAACAGCAAAAGTACAATAAAAAAACTGCGGTTGCCAACCCGCTCGCCAGGCGTGGCAACTATGGCAAATACCCCCCAATGAAGAGTGCAACAAAGAAACGGCCCCCAGTCCCCGGCGGCCCCGCTATTCCTGGCTACGGTGGCGACCATGGTAACGGCGGGGCAGGGGGTGCTAAGAATCTCCGGTGGAGGTTCGGTTGCCACCTAAAACGACTCGACCTGGCAACATACAACGCACACACCCTGAGGACTGACGAGAAGATCGTGGAGCTGGAAGAAGAGATAAACAAGTTACGCTGGCATATTATAGGATTATCCGAGGTCCGAAGAGAGGGGGAGGACACGGTAATCCTCGAATCCGGCAACTTGTTCTATCACCGGGAGGGCGACCATCTGTCCCAAGGAGGTGTCGGATTTATCGTCCACAAGTCTCTCGTTAACAACGTTGTAAAGATTGAGGGTGTGTCGACGAGGTTTGCTTAACTTATACTCAGAATCACCAAACGGTATTCGCTGAAGGTCATACAGGTTTACGCACCAACCTCAGCACACCCTGATCAGGAGGTGGATGAAATGTATGAGGATATCTCTAGAGCCATGCATTCCTCCAAAACCCACTATACGGTGTTAATGGGAGACTTCAATGCAAAACTAGGCACCAGAGAGAACGGTGAGCTGAAAGTAGGGAAATTTGATATAGGGCAACGGAACCCAAGGAGCCAGCAGCTGGCCGACTTCATAGAGAAAGAGGGACTCTTAATGATGAACTCTTTCTTCCAGAAGCGGCCTCACAGGAAGTGGACTTGGTCGAGCCCCGACGGCTCGATAAAAAATAAGATTGACTTCATTATGACGACCAGACGACAATTGTTCAGTGATGTCTCCGTGATCGCGAGGGTTAAGTTGGAGAGGTCTCGTCTAATGAAGTCAACGCTCCGCCCCCTCGTGCTCTGTTCCAAAGTCCCGAAACCTTTCAGCTCGAGTTACAAAACCGTTTTCAGTGCCTAGAACACTGCAATGAAGTGGACGATATGAATGACAAGCTCGTGGAAACTGTCCATGCGGTCGGAACTAAGTTCTGCAAGACCCGCCGCAGAAGAACACAAAAATCTCAGATCACACTCTTAATCTCATGGCTGTTAGACGGGAGATGAAGCTACACTCTTCAACAGATTTGACAGCATACAAGCAATTGAACAGACAGATCTCCAAATGCATGCGGCGGGACTTACGCAACTTCAATACAGCTTGTATTGAAGAAGCGATCGAGCGGAACCATGGCTTCAAAGTCTTTGCGAGAGATCTGTCTGCCAGAAAGAGCCAACTGTCAAAGCTGAAGACCGAGTGTGGCAGCATCGTTTCCGGGACACCTGAGATTTTGAGTGAGATTGAGAGTTTCTATGGGCTACGTCATCGTTGGAGCCACACGCAAGTGTGAGTAACGATCCAAGAGCGAGTCTTATCCGACACTATTCCGAAGATATTCCGGACGTCAGTCTGAGCGAGATTAGAATGGCTCTCCAGCACCTTAAAAACGGCAAGGCCCCAGGCGAGGATGGAATTACAGCGGAGCTTCTGAAAGCGGGTGGAAAACCGGTACTTGAAGTCCTTCAGAAGCTCTTTAATTCCGTCCTCCATGGTGGCGTTACACCGGAGGCGTGGAGCAGAAGTGCGGTGCTCTTGTTCTTCAAGAAAGGTGACAACGCTCTCTTGAAGAACTACAGACCGATTTCCCTTCTGAGCCGCGTCTACGTGCTGTTTTCAAGTCATTAAGAATCGTCTCGCGCGCAGACTTGACGACTTCCAGCCTCTCGAACAAGCCGGTTTCCGAAAGAGCTTTAGCACCATAGACCACATACATATCCTTCGGCAAATTGTACAGAAGTCCGAAGAGTACAATTTGCCACTATGTCTGGCGTATGTGGACTATGAGAAAGCCTTTGATTTCGTCGAAATTTGGGCGGTGCTGCAGTCTCTTCAGCGGTGCCAAGTTGACTGTCGGTATATCGAAGTGCTGAAGTGTTTGTACAGTAGAGCTACGATGGCTATCCGAGTACAGAATCAGAGTACGAAACCTATCCAACTGCAGAGAGGTGTAAGACAGGGTGACGTTATATCCCCGAAACTCTTCACCGCTGCATTGGAAGATGTTTTCAAGCTACTGGACTAGAAAGGATTCGGTATTAACATCAATGGCGAGTACATCACTCACCTTCGATTTGCCGACGATATAGTCCTTATGGCAGAATCGCTGGAGGACCTAAGCACCATGCTCAATGACCTCAATAGTGTCTCCCAACGTATAGGTCTTAGGATGAACATGGACAAAACAAAGATCATGTTTAATGCCCATGTCACACCTATGCCGGTAGTTGTTGGGAGCACTAAGCTCGAAGTTGTTGACGAGTATGTTTACCTGGGACAAATAGTCCGACTAGGTAAGTCCAACTTCGACCGAGAGGTCAATCGACGGATTCAACTCGGCTGGGCAGCGTTCGGGAAACTACGACACATCTTCTCATTAGACATACCTCAAAACCTGAAAACGAAATTGTACAACCAGTGCGTGTTGCCAGTGAGGACTTACGGATCTGAGACGTGGCCCTTCACTGCTGGCCGTATGAGGAAGCTCAAGGTCGCTCAGCGAGCTATACAGAAGGCTATGCTCGGTGTTTCTCTGCGTGATAAACTTAGAAATGAGGATATCCGCAGTAGAACCAGAGTTACCGACATAGCCCAACGGATTAGTAAGCTGAAGTGGCAATTGGCCGGCCATATAGTTCGAAGAACCGACAACCGATGGGGAAGAAAGGTTCTCGAGTGGCAGTCTCGTACCGGTAGACGAAGTGTAGGGCGACCTCCCACTAGATGGAGTGACGACCTGGTGAGATATGCAGGAAGTCGATGGATGCAGGTGGCTCAGGACCGTGCTTTGTGGCATTCCTTGGGGGAGGCCTATGTTCAGCAGTGGACTTGTGAAGGGCTGTAATGATGATATTTAGAACGCTCTCATCTTGTCGATGGCCTTAATATTATATAAATAAGGTTATGACGAGTATATCCCACTTACTGAGGTTGTAGCCTGCCTCTGAAACGACCAGGATAAGATTATCACAGCATCCAAATCTCAAGGTATCAAGGCAACTGATGCTTGGCTTTTATATTTATTAAATACTAGCGACCCGCCCCGGCTTCGCCTGGGTGGGTTGTCTAGATTTAAGATAATCAAAGACCGTTTCGTCTGTTCTCTCCGTTCCGTTTCGATCTTACCAATTTTTCGTTTAAAAAAAATCTTTAAGTTGTTCGGATAAAATATAATCTAGATCGCTCCTGACATTGATCTGTTCGTAAAATTTCATCACAATCGGTTCAGATTAGCCCAGACATACAGAAAGACAGACGGACAAATATTTTAAAAATGGTTGTATTTGTTTTAAGCATGCAAATAATCCCCTGTGTTTAATAGAAGACGGTTATATCAATATTACAGACAGACACTTCAAATTATTTATATGTATAGATATAGATAAGAATCGAGCATAAAAAGTAAATTAATGGAAGGAAATTAAATCGTACGATTCGATCACATTTCTATTAGTCAGATATATTTAGCTTCTAATTTAATAACCACTCGATTGAAACCGAGTTCGAATTCGATTCGAATCGAAAGTTCGAACTAGCCTTGATCTAGTCCAGTTACTTCCCAGCGATAAACATTCTGGATTAAAAGTTATATAAAGTGGCAATGTGCCGGCGATATAGCTCGAAGAACCGACAAGTAATTGAGAAGAAAGGTTCTCCAGAAGCAACATCGTACGTACTGGAAAGCACAGTGTTGGACGATTCTCCACTAAATGGAGTGACGACCTGATGAAACACGCAGGTAATCGATGGATGTAGATGGCCGAGGAAAGTACTTTGTGGCAATATACGCTGTATTTTTTTTTGTATAGTAAAGGGTGACAAACGAGCACACAGTCCACCTGATGATAAGTGGTTGCTGCGGCCCATAGACATCTACATCTATCCTCTATTACAAATCAAAATGCAGATGCTTTGCCACCCGTAAGGACTAAGATGGAATGCCTCATTTCCAGTAAAAAGGGTCTCCGGTTCTCTACACTCACAATACGAAACACAGCAGCGTCAAGCTGGTATTCAGTGAGAGCGTGGTCCTTCCCCGTTCGAGCCGACCCATTCGTGCTACAACTATACTACTAATATAGCTGCAGTAATGTAGCTACAGTATCCATTTACCATCAGGTGGATTGTGTGCTCGTTTGTCACTCTTAGTCTATGAAAAGAAGTCTATGGGTGGAGGCCTATGTTCAGCAGTGGACTTATTTGGGCTGATTTAATGTAAGAGAAGATTATTTATTACATTCCTATCATTCCAGGGCAAAAGAAACCAAGCCAACATCGGTCCTCATCCGCGTTAGCCTCAAAAGAAGTGGAGTTCTCCAATTGGAAGAAGAGGTCGTCTTACGACCCCATGAAAGCAGCACAAGAGGGGAAAAAGAGACAGCAGATGGCGAGACGGCAGGAGTGCAATAAGGACGACCTTAGTTCCCCCAGGTACGTAATCGACAGGCAACATCTTCTAGTTCAGGAATTCCCAAAGTGGTCGAAATCGGTTTCCCGGGATCGACATAAACGAAAACTGATTTTGGGTGTCGACGAGGGCTAAAAATATCCCTATTAATTTTATTAATTACTTATTTATTTAGAAAATAAACTACTTGTAAATATTAATGTATTAATTTTATTAATTACAAATAAATAGACATAATATTCATTAAATATCAATTTAATGAATATTATGTCTATTTATTTTGTTAAATTTTAATGAGAAAATGATGTTAGGTTTTTTTCTCTTAACCAACCGCAAAGTTTTTAAATTGACTAATGTTTTGATTTGAGATAGGATTTTTAAACTTATTTGGCTATGGGGGTCTGAGGTATCACTTCATCTTGGTAAAGGAGTCTCTTGCCCAAAAGAGTTTGGAAGGAAATCCCTGTTCTAGATAATACGGAATCGGACGATGAAAACATGCGTTCGTGCAAAATTTCCCGCCTATTTTTTCGAGTTCGTTCAATAATCAGCTAAAGGGAACAATTATAAAGTCACGTACAATCTTATTTCAGTTGGATATTTTGTCTTTTTATAGAAATAAATCGTACAATGTATTTCAGTGTATATGCCAAACTGTTAAACAGTTTGTCGACAGAAAATGCTCTCGTTTACATTATTTGTAATTGTTGTACATTTTATTATAAACTATTACTATTATTTCCAAAGATTTACAAACATTAATATTATGCTATGTTATATGATTTTAACCTAAATATTATCGCATCTATTGATGTTCAAATACAATTTCACTCAGCTACTCATTCACTTAAATCTAAAGGCAGGCTATTTACAACTGTAGGAACTATATATTTCCTGGTATTTCATATAAGAATTAAGAATTTACAATAGGCCTAATATGTGATCGATGGTTTATTATGTATGTAAAGTAAGCAAAGTTGAATTGAGATGAATAGAATAAAATGAAGATTACTGAAGGAGGGATTTTTCTGAATATTGTCAGTTTTTAGTAAAATCCCTCACTTAAATTAGTACTCGTAATACATGGCATAATGATTTCTTATATTTACGCGAACACTTGAATAAAACTACCCTTACGGATTTTATCGCGTTTAATTAACTTATTTTACTTATTTTTATTAATTACCGACGTTTCGGGTGCTTTCCAGCACCCATGATCCCGGGGGACTGAGTGAGACTGTCTCTGAGTGACTGAAAATAAGTAAAATAAGTTAATTAAACGCGATAAAATCCGTAAGGTTAGTTTGATTCAATACACGGTATGTTAGGCTTCTGAGTTGTCATGAAGAAATGAGTTTTCACAGGAGTAAGACGCCCACAATACATAAAGTAAATTAAAGTAATTATTGTGTGGTGTGTTGCTTCTTTCATTTACTTAACTTTATTTATTTCTTTACTAGCTGTTCCCCGCGACTTCGTTCGCGTGTTAGGGTTTTTATGTTTCTGCGCGGAACCCTGATTCTTTTTCTAAAATAAAAGTAGCCTATGTTACTCCTTATGAAATCAGCTATCTGCCAGTGAAAGTCCCGTCAAAATCGGTCCAGCCGTTTCGGAGATTACCCGGAACAAACAGACAGACAGACAGACAAAAATTTTAAAAATTGTATTTTAGTTATAGGTATCGTATTTACTTTCATATGCATTTAGTAAAAAACTGTAATTTTGACATTACAAACAGACACTTCAATTTTATTTATTTGTATAGATTATATGGACTACAACACAGATAACAATCAAATTACAGTAAAAAATAAACACTTATATAACAGTTATGTACCAGATTGTTATACTAAATATGTTGACACGTCATTTTTATATTTATTACGGCAGAGATTAACTCTTCGGTAGACAATTTACAGGGTTATTTTTCAAACAGTAGCCGAATTTTAAACTTAAGTTTAAATATATAAATAATGATATACTTTTATTGCAGTTTTAGAAAATACAAGTAATTAATTATCGGCTTCTTCTTTTATCTGAAATTATCCCAAATTGAATGTGATTTATGGGCTATATACGCGTACGCGCGCTACCCTGTGTGCGATTCAATTCACAACGTTTTTGCCGACCGAGCGACCTTTACGAATGTGTGCATTAGATATTTATGAATGACAATTAGTTAAAATAATGTATCACCACGCATTTTGAATTTAAAAGAAGAAAAGGACAGAATGTTTGAGATATTTTTTAATTAACTTTCTTCACCATTTGCCTATATTACTTATTCTGAACCTTCTCTGCAAATTTATAATAAAAAAAGATATGGGAATGAGTGTGTAATCTTTTTTTTTATTGATTATTGGAATAAAAAGTGAAAACATTCCATGCAATTTCAGCCACTCCTCACCGGTCCACCGATCTCAGTCCTTCCACACGACCAACATCGCAGACCTGGAGACGCTGGACTACTCCTCGGAAGACGACCAGATGCTCTCGACCCTACCTATCGACCCGATGATCACTTCGACACACTCGGATATTTTGGACCTGAGGCCTAAAGACTTCACCAGAGAAAACCTGAGGAGGCAGGCGATGACCAACGATGTGGTTTTATCGAGGAATTACGTCACCAGTTTCCAGGTAAGAATGGTAAAATACGAGGGTGGATTGAAAAGTACTCGGCCTAACCAAGAAAATAAACAAATACTAAATCAGTTATATTTTTATTTTTCTACATAATCACCATCAAGTTCAATACACTTTTGCCACCTCCCCTTCCAAGCATTTAGACCGTTGAAAAAAAATGATTCTTCCTTAGAGTCAAAATATGCGTCTACAGCTGCTTTGACCTCGTCGTTTGTCGAAAATCTTTGACCTCCCAAGTGCTTTTTTAGGTTAGGGGACAGAAAGAAGTCTGATGGTGCCAGATCAGGTGAATACGGCGGATGCGGTAACAGTTCAAAGCCACAGTTGTGAATTTCAGCAATTGACTGTACTGACGTGTGAACACGGGCGTTATCTTGATGAAACAGGACTTTTCTTCTGAGCATTCCTCGACGTTTTTCTTTTATTTCCTCTCGTAAACGACGTAGTAAGGTGCAGTAGTAATCAGAGTTTATATTCTGACCCCTTTCAAGATAATCAATCATAATCACACCTTTCGAGTCCCAGAATACTGAAGCCATCACCTTATTTGCCGACAAAATCGACTTAGCCTTTTTAGGGGGTGGTGAACCAGGTCTTCTCCACTGTTTTGATTGTTGTTTTGTTTCCAGTGTACAGTAATGAACCCATGTTTCGTCCATAGTAACAAAACGATTCAAAAAATCATCTGCATCGGCTTCAAATAACTCCAAACAGTCGCGTGAAATAGTCAATCGCGTCCTTTTTTGTTCAACTGAAAGCAGTCGCGGAACCCACCTCGCAGACACCTTGTGGAAACCCAACTCGTTGACAATGATGTTTTGAGTTCGTTCATAAGAGATGCCTATAATCTCGGCTATCTCTCTAATTTTTAATCTGCGGTCTCCCATTATTAAATCAAGTACTTTTTAAATATTTTCGTCAGTAGTTGACGTCGAAGGCCTTCCAGAGCGGGGTTCATCTTTCACACTCTCTCTACCACGCTTAAATTCTGCTATCCATTTTTTGACGGATGAATATGACAGAGCACAATCGCCTAATGTACTGACCATGTCATCATGGATGGCTTTTGATGATAGCCCCTTCTTATGGAGGTACTTAATGACGGCACGCTGCTCGATTTGCTCCATTCGCGGAAATTATGTCCGATTACTTTGTTAATAAATTTATAAAATCACAACTAATTATCGCACACGTTTCGAACTTCACACAATGAACTAGTCTGAACTGAACTAAATAATGTGGGTAGATTTGATTTTTAGAATTGAATGGATCTGTGTTAGGCCGAGTACTTTTCAATCCACTCGTAGTATATTAGTTTTTAATTAAATATATTTGCATATAGCACCAGCTCCAGGAGAATCATTGTTTTATTGTGATAGAAATTAGAATAGTGCTTTCGAAATCTACCCTCGCGGTCTATATTGATTGCGACGTTACACAAGTAAGTGCACATAACTACTACAAGGTTTATCATGCACTGATTTTATGATGCAATGCATTGCCGGTAGAAATTGGAAAGATGGAGTTATCTACCCAGATATACTTCTCGTCAGAGCATAAGTCTAACGAACGAAATCTATGTGGTCACTACAGACTTCATTTTCATGCCTAAACGGAGTGTAACAGGCCTACACTCCGTTTAGGCATGAAAATATACGTAAGCTGCGCGGCCGCCTACAAGAGGCTAATTCCGTGAGGTTGTCACGCGCGCGCTCGAGCTGACGCGCGCCTTACGTTAGCAAAAAGTATTTTGCTCTTACTTATAAGTATTTAAGCACTTTTGATATTTATTTTTGAATTTTTATTCAAGTATGGCCTCTCAAAAAGCCGAAAGGAACTGCATAGCCTACGGGTGCTTAAATTACAATAGGAATGTCGAATTTTCATTCTTTACTGTTCGCACAGAATAAATAGGATATCAAAAGGTAAGATGTTATTATTTATAGGTAGATCTAAATAATTAGTTACCTAGTTACTGCCTCCATAGTTACAGATTTATTATTTGAATAGCAACCAGACCACAGCTTCGCAGTTTTCAATTTTATCGCGAATAATGTCAGTGACCTTAAATTTTGTTCAGTGTAAGTAGACCTCCCATTACTAGTTACTGCCTACTAATGCAAGCTCACCATATACTGGTTTTTAGTTAAACACTTGGTCGATAAAAAAAGATGTTGAAAACAGAAGCACTTCTCATTGCCACTCTTTCATTAATAATGCTGTCTGTTTCATTAATAATAAACAGAAAATGGTAATTGGGTAAATTATCTGAGTTTCAAAGACGTTCACGTTGTTATAATCTTAATTTTTCTAGATGTTTTTCTAGAATAATAATGTTCTTATTATCAGCAAATTACTAATACATGCCATAACACCTCGGTGTATCCTACTACCAGCTAATATCAAAGGATTCAATTTGTTTTCTCACAACACCTAACTCTGTAGTAGAAGCGGCCTCATCGAAGGCGCTTAACGGGTTAACTAAGTGATACAGACTCGCGCACGCGGACGTAAGGTGCAGTTTGTTTTAATAGCGCGCCGCAACAATCGTGATGCTATTTTAACGAATGTCGCTTCCGAAGCGTGCAAAGTATTATGAACAGAACATTAGCGACGTTGTAACCAGATTTAAACTGTAAAACAGTAAAAACGCAAGTATGCTGTCAGAGAGTGATTCTTCTGTTCTTGTACTATTATTTATTCTGTGTCATATATATAGAAAATAATAGATACAGAAGTCCTATCACCTTGAATTGATATCCTTAAAAGGCTTATTGGGTATCGGTTAGGATTTTGTTCCGTCCTATAGAGTGGCACGAGCTTCAGTTTTCTTTCTTTTTTTGGTAATGGACTCATACGGTTGTACTTTTGCCAGTGTAAAATATGAAGTTATCCTTTATAAAAGTTAATTTAAAAACTTCATCACAATATTTTGATGCGTCACATTGTGAAGCTGCTTGACCCTACAGACAGTCGATTACGGTAGTATCTCAAGGCGCCTAAGCAGCCACAATAGCTTGGGTTCACATCACCATCGTAGCACTTGTTTCATCGTTTCCACTAACAGTTCACTTGCGTAGGCATTTAATATACAAAATCACTCCATTACGACATTCTCCCGTATCGCGGGCGCAGTTTACATACATAAATTGCTCAAGGACAAACATTTAGAACTGGAAGTAATTATTTGTAGGCCATATAAAAACTTATTTCGTGCGCGATTTGAACCCGCAACCCTCAGTGCTATGCCACCTCGCCACGGAGCCGTCGCGATAAACTCAAAAGTTATGTATTGTATTTTAAAAAAACTCCACAGGTCAACCAGCCCTCAGAGAAGGCAAAACGCATAGAAACAGACAAGCGGAAGACTTACCTCCTCGATGACATAACCCCAACAAAGGAGAACGTGGACTTCCTCCCGAAGAGAGAGAATGACGCCGCAGTGGACAAAAGAAAGACTTTCATACTGGACAGCGACACAAACTCCACGACAAACGGCAGCAGTCCGAGGAACTCCTCCATATTCAGTCACGAGAAGAACTCTCTTACGACTGGCACCAGCGATACAGAAGGAGAGAGTGGGACGGAAAGCGCTCCAGTGGTTATGAGACATCAAGGGGGGAAGAAAGGGACAGCGCAGGCGAAACAGAGGTAAGAATAGTAGAGGTAGGAGTATCCGACGAGTTTTTACAAGCTTTAATTTAACTTCACCTGTATAATGTCAGTATGTGTAGGTCAAATCATGTAACTATGTATATCGGAACACACCCTAGATTGTATTGTCACCAGCTCTAAGTGTGCAAAATTTCAGCTAATCATCATCATCATTACAGCCCTTCACAAGTCCACTGCTGAACATAGGCCTCCCCCAAAGAATGCCACAAAGCACGGTCCTGAGCCACCTGCATCCATCGACTTCCTGCATATCTTACCAGGTCGTCACTCCATCTAGTGGGGGGACGCCCTACACTTCGCCTGCCGGTACGAGGCTGCCACTGAAGAACCTTTCTTCCCCATCGGTTGTCGGTTCTTCGAGCTATATGGCCGGCCCATTGCCACTTCAGCTTACTAATCCGTTGGGCTATGTCGGTCACTCTGGTTCTACTGCGGATATCCTCATTTCTGAGTTTATCACGCAGAGAAACTCCGAGCATAGCCCTCTCCATAGCTCGCTGAGCGACCTTGAGCTTCCTCATCCGGCCAGCAGTGAAGGACCGCGTCTCAGTTCCGTATGTCATCACTGGGTGTACAGTCTCGTTTTCAAGTTTTGAGGTATACCTGACGAGAAGATGTGCCGTAATTTCCCGAACCCTGCCCAACCGAGTTGAATCCGTCGATTGACCTCTCGGTCGAAGTTGGACTTACGAAGTCGGACTATTTGTCCCAGGTAAATATACTCGTCAACAACTTCGAGCTTAGTGTTCCAAACAACTACCGGCATAGGTGTGGCATGGACATTAAACATGATCTTTGTTTTGTCCATGTTCATCTTAAGACCTATCCGTTGGGAAACACTATTGAGGTCATTGAGCATAGTGCTTAGGTCCTCCAGCGATTCTGCCATAAGGACTATATCGTCGGCAAATCGAAGGTGAGTGATGTACTCGCCATTGATGTTGATACCGTATCCTTTCCAGTCCAGAAGCTTGAAAACATCTTCCAATGCAGCGGTAAAGAACGACGACGGCCCCCAGTCCCCGGCGGCCCCACTATTCCTGGCGACATTAAAAAGAGACAAACATATACATCTATAAGATTTAGCATGCGAGAGAGAGATAGAATAGAGTATTCGGTGTTTCCTATTATCTCGGTCTTCTCTTATTATCCTACTCCTGGTACTCTGCATTCGTCTCATTCTCTCGAAATTTAGTTTTCTTAAGATTTCACTTTTACCGCGTGTGAACTGCACGCTTGCTTTTTTTTTAATATCTTGTTCTTCGGTGTGTAATGTTATACTTGAAATAGACACGCTACAGCACGAGTGGGTCGGCTGGACCGGGGAAGGATTACGTTCTCACAGAATACCAGCGTAAATTAGCAATACAATGCTGCTGTGTTTTGTATGGTAAGAGTAGAGAACAGAAGACCCGTTTTACGGACAACGAGGCGTTCCATCAAAATTTTCAGGAATACCAATGCTTTAGCATTTTTATTTTCAATTAAGGATAAATGTAGATGACTATGGGCCACAGCATTCATTTACCATCAGATTGAATGTGTGCTCGTTTGTCACCATTATTTAATAAAAAAATATTTATTATTTTTTAGGTCGATTGAAATACTACTTTTAAAGTTAAAATGATAATATTTTTAATTTATGACATTACGAAAAACAAAAATATAGTCAATCAAATATCAACCGTATTCCCACAGGTACAGCGGTGACTATTCCATGTCATCGTCGACCACCTCAATAAGCCAACAGCAAAAGAGGCCTAAGGAGATCCAGCCTAGATATCTAGATATATCTAAATACAAATCGGAGAACTCGCCGAAGAACTTCTTGAGGCGGGATCCGAGCAAGACGTACGTTGGGGTACTTAACCATACTGAGAAGGGGGTTAGTAAGGGAAGCGCGCAGCACTATGAAATGGGTGAGTTTCATTACAAAATTAAAATTAAATATTTTTCTTGACAACTTCATAATGGCAGCCATACACGTAATGATATACATGCACAAGTTTAGACTTGCACAAATATACTCTGGCAGTAACTATAGGCGACTCAAATATGCTTGAACGATATCATTTGGAGCGGAAGTAACTCGATATAAACTCATATCATCAACTGAGTTTTCGCTACTTGTCATCGAAGTGATATGTTATCTCTTCTCGTATGATCTGTTAATTTTCAGTGGAGTTTTGGCGGGAACTTGACCGGTGGCGGATTGCTGCTCCTGTATTATTGATTAAATAATGGTTTGAAGTAGATTTTTATATGTAAAAGTGATGCGATTTTATGTATTAAATGTCTGCGAATGTGAACTATTAGTGGAAACGGTGAAACAAGTGTTGCGATGGTGATGTGAATATTAAGATAATGTGTCTGTCTGCTTAAGTGCCTTGAGATACTATCGCCAACTGTCTGTTAGCTCAAGTTGCCGTCAAAATCTCCCAAAAACTACACAATGTAACGCATTAACATATTGTGAAGCAGTGTGCTATATAGAGTTATTATCATTTGATACTGAAAATTTATAAAAACGAAGATTGCGAGTGAAATGAAAACATGGCTTGAAGAACAAGCATCGAAGCCAAAAATCTTAATAAAACATCTAGAAAACGGCGTGACACAATCATTCAGACAAACGTAAAACTACTCAAGTTTGAAATCGTAAATTAAAACTTTTTTCTGCCGACTTCAAAAAGGAGACGGTACTCTACTGTGACGGTATTCGACTGTATGTTTTTTTATGTGTGTTACCTCATAACTTTTTACTGGGTGAACCGATTTCGATGATTCTTTTTTTATTTGAAAGCTGGTACTTCACATGTGGTCCCATATAAATTTGATCAAGGTCTGACCAATAGTTATTGAGTTATTCTTAATAAATTATATTGAAGTCGGCTGTTCAAAATTTTTAATTTTCAATTATAATACTTGAACAAGTCTATAATTTCCGCAATATTCTTCCCACACACTGCATACAGTTACTCGTTTATATTATGGGGTAGTGGGTATTCTTACACCACCACAACACGATCAACTGCTCATATATAGAAATTCTTGTTAACTGCCCATATATAGAAAAACTTGTTAAAAATATATTCCAGAACAAAAGAAACAAGAATTGGAGAAGTGGAAACGGAGAGCTTCGTATGACCCGAGAAAGGCGGCAGCGCTCGGCAAAACTAGCAAAGCTCCACCAAAGACTGCAAGGTAAGTGTGTGCTTTGCCTTAAAAATATAAAATAATCTATGGTGTACAGGTTTGACAGCCTGTCTAATTGTGACAATCTTATTATAATATATTTTTTGTTGATTATGAAGTGCTGGTCAAATTTTAGATAGAGGTTTTAATATGTGTTGTATTATTTAATGTTAACAATTTTTTTTTTAGTTTGTTTACCGGTGGTTTGCTTTGTATATTTGTATATATGATTTTTTTACGTACTTATATTTTGTTGTTATTTATTTATTTTAAACCAGGATTTTATCAAATAACAATTGTTTTCCTGTTGTAACTTTTAGAGCGTGACAGATGTCAAAATGCATGCAATTCTGGCTAAAGTGACATGAGAGCCGCCTTCTTGTCGTGTAAGGTTAGTTACATGTCCGAAAGAGGTTGTGGCGTTCTGGGAAAAATTATACCGGCACTACAGTTTGGATTATACAATAAAAAGCTTTAAAATTTGCTTCACACAATCTAGTGCTAATTCTGTTAGGTTTTTCATTATTTCACAGCTTTTATGAATCTAAACATTACTGTATCATTGTTTTTCAATTGCGGATAAAACAAGGTTTACTTACCGTATGCTTACACCATATTGTTATTAAGGGCCGCTAATAATTATTATTTCAGTTTGTAATATATTTGCAATTATTGGCTTCTAATGTTGTGGTTTTTGGTTTCATCAGCTTCATTCACTTTTAATACCTTTCTATAAGTTTTTGTACACTGGATTTTCGATCGCAAAAAGTATTTAAAAAAAGGAATTAATATTATTAATATTTCAAAATGGGAACCATTTTTAACATTAAAATTTGTACTTTGAAATTTTGTTTGTTTGAAATTGAAAATTTGTACCGATCAGACACAAAAACAGATTAACAGACAAGAAAGGAAGTTCATATTTCATTATCATCCAGTTCAGCTGTGTTAAATTAATCTTCAATAGTTCTTCCGATCATATTCGGGATCGTATGTACATATGTTTTGGACCAAGTGATCAATAGGACATTTATTTATTTATTCTTTATTGCACTAAATATTTGTACAAAAGGCGAGCTTAATGCTATATGGCATTGCCTACCAGCTAACCTTGGGTAGAACAGAGTGAGTTTGGGCAGTTAAGTTGTTATGATATAATTCAGTTCAAATATATACATGCAACACATACATAAAATATACACACATATATATATAAAATATATATAATTCATATACATATATATCTCAATAATTGTATATATAAATAACTATAAACATATAAAACAGTTTGAAAAATGCGTAATTATATGAGGAGACAATATTGAGATAAAAACTATTAAATTAATTATATTGTCCGGACTTTATGAATAAAGTCCGTTAGTTATTGGGCAGAGTATTAAAAATATAGGTTAGGTTATAATATAACTCTTCCAAATTTAAATCCTGATTAGCCACTTGGTCCATAACATATATACTCGCTCGTAGAACAATAATTGACTTCCAATTTATGACTAATCATTTTACCACACATGCTTCTTGCTGATTCGCAACATTCACACTTCTAAAACATTTGTTTGATAATTTTATGTTCATTTGTTGTTTGTAATTTTTTACTGTACATAAGCTTACTTCATTAACTTCAGGTTTTTGTCTTATTGTATATGTCAGGTTTTTGATGATTTGTAATTATTTCATTAGTCTTATAACATTTTTGAATTTTTCAAAAAATATTACTATCTGTATTGCCTTCTTTGGTAACTGTTGTTAATTAAGTATTTTTTATATTACTGTTCCAATTTTATATGCTGTATAAATTTCTATAATTCTTTAGCAGTGTTGCCATTAGACAATAACTTCGTATTGGTATATTTATTAATCAAAATATAAATAAAAACGTAAATGTTCTGTATTTTACATTATTTTCAGTAGCGTTTTGCGATCTCAGTCGTTTCACGGTCCGGTGCTAGTCTCCCCGAATCTGCGTTACCAGCCGCCACCGACCGAAATAACGGAGAGTTACGACGCTTCGAGCGACAACGACTTTTAAAGCGTTTAGCGTATGGTCGAAAATACAATGGCATTGTGATAGTGTGTTATGGGATAGAATGGTGTGTGTTTTGTTTGTGGAGTGTGGGTGTACTATATGATAGTGTAAATGGAACCAAATAATTAGTATACATACTTAAATATGTTGTTTAATCATTTTTGACAGATGTCATTTTACGCGCCAAAAACAACAGTTTAATAAATCACAGATGGGTATGGAATTTTTGTTAGTTAATTTTTTACATTTTGGCACAATTGAAAGCAACGCAACGCAAGTACATTTTTTTTGTAAATTATATACGCTTAAACTCCAGTTCGTTTATCGATATGATAAAATTAAACGTGATTTGAATAAGGAAGCCTATTTAATGTAATGGAAACACTATCACTTAAAGTGTATGTTAAGAGATTTTTATATAACCATCGAGTTTATTAAATTTTCATATAATTAGAGAAACGATTGAAAAGTACGGTTTTATTTATAGTTATATATTATATATAGATTTAGCAATTAGTTGCTCATATCGTATGTACATCGATTAGTTCTAACGTCATTTTATTATCGATTTATTTTAGGTTAGTTAGTTGTCAATCCAATTTTACATATTAGTGCAATATAATTACATCACAATGGAATTAGTTATGAATTAGTGTTGTTCGAGATTATAAATTTTAGATGTCATCTCATATCTTTATACATATGAAATAATTTGTTATGTCCCTAATTTGATGATTTTCATTTCGAATTTCCATTTATTTAAACTCACATTTTATGTGTTACGTATGTTAGATTTACAAACATACGGCCAAAATTCTTGATATTATATTTATAGTGCAAAAGTGACTATTTTTTAAGAAATTAGAACAATATGTCTTCACTCTCCGTCAAAAATGTACTTAGACTGTCAAAATTCAAAACGTCCTCTTAGGTAATGTTTTATCACAGATATCTTTCTAAATACTTATAGATTTGCGATGTACAATAGCTTACATGATCAAAAACACCATTCTAATTAGAAATTAGTTCAACAGTGTTCTAAACAGTTTATATTTTAATATGGCTTTAGTTTCGTACAGTTGTCATAATAATTTAAAAATAATAATATGCTACGTTTCTTGTATTTAAGACTTATTGAAGAACTCATGAACCCGATTGTTTTTTTTTTTAATGAATCTATTGTACGAATTATTTTAAATTCGAAATCTGTTTACTTAGTTTTAGATAAATGAGTAATATCTCGTGGTCTTTATGGCATACATGTCTCATTTTTAAAACAAATAATTATTATACTCAAAATACAGTATTTAATTTTTTGGTAAGTTCTTACTATGGCATAATTAGATATATAGTCATGAGTTTGCGTATAATTTTTTTGTGCTCTTGACTACCAGGCTTTTTGCCATTTCTTGAATAAAAATAAATAGAATTCTCTTTTTTATTTTGTAATTTTTATAATTTATAGGAACTATAAATTGCACTTATATATTGTTTTTTTTTTGTAAATTACTCCCTAATGCTTTAACTATATAAGGAAATAATGAATGAATGTGTTATGCGAAATTGTTTATATCAATAGAAACAATAGCGCCTTTATAGAATTTACCATTCCATGTTCATTCAAATAAAATGTCTGTTTTGTAGTACCTATACTTAAACGAAGCCAGCCGCTTTTTAATGGATTATTGAATTGTATTATGAAAAGCTCGAAGCGAGTTGTGTTAGGGTTTGTATTACAATTATTGATGTTTAGATTTTCGTAAAATATTGTTTAACAGAAAATAAAAGAAATTATATGAAATTGTATAATGCATTTTATTCACGATTTTCCTTATTCAGAGAAGTGGATACGTTACGATGTATATGTATATATACATTTTATCAGACCGAAGTATATATTGACTGTTGGCCAAGCAGCAAAGGTGCGTATCGATGTCCCAATGAGGGCTAATAATTTTCTGCTCACCAGATGTCGTTAGTTGACACTGAGGTAAAGTTTTTTGTTACACAATGTAATTTAATTGAGAAGTTGTTTTATAATAAAAGTTTATTAGTTTCTAGAGTATTATATTAACACAAAACTATGCGTCAGTGGTTTGCTCTTTAATTGTTTGCACATTTTTAACTTTTATCTTAATTTTTCTACTTTTAGGAATATCCGTGGTTTGGTTTATTTATTTTTAGTTATTAATATAAAATATAGCCAATAGTGCAAAAAGAAACAATAACTTACATTTTCCGAACAAATTAACTTCCCCGTCATGAAATGTGTCAAATAATTTATCTGTCAATATCTAGTGCGCCGCCCTGGTGTCAGAAAAATTCGTGGATGCCCTCATTTTCAATCCGTCTCCCAAGCGTAGTGGTTAAACTCATTCTTCTCGGACTACCAATGAGATTGTATGTTAAAGGAATGTATCTGTTGTGACGTTATGGCGCAAAGTACTACGTCAATTTGCACATCGAACGTGGACGAATAAAGTAAACCTTCCCTACAACGGACCCAGTTGGCCGTATAGGGGTGATGACTATAATGAAGGCTTCTACGACTTTTTCTGCCACCAGGGCGACGCCACTTAAAGTGAGGCATAATACTTCACAGATTTCATATTGAGGAAGTTAATTAGTTCGGAAAATGTAAAGGTTAATGTTTTTTTCTGTACTATTAGCTATATTTTATATTAATAAGATTAAAAATAAATAAACCGAACCACAGATATGCACAAAGGTAGAAAATTAAAAAAAAAGTTAAAAATGTGGAAAAAATTAAAGAGCCAAGCACTACGGCATTGTTTAGTATATTAATATATTGTAACATACTCTTGAAACTGATAAACTTTTATTAAAAACTAACAACTTAATTAAATGACAGTGTGTAACAAAAAAACTTCACCTCAGTGTCAACCAGCGACATCTGGTGATCGGAGTATTATTAGCCCTCATTGAAGAAGCCGTGGTCTATTTCCACTTTTTAATACGATCGTTTTATTTTTCTCTTATTATTGTCAAGCAGCAAAACTAATGCCTCGATGGTTTAATGGTCATAGGCACGACTACTAATCCTTTAGTCCCGGGATCGAACTCGGATCGGGCAGGATTCAAGAAATTGGGGGTATTTTCACCCCGCAAGAGGTAAAGTTGTGAGGGAATATAGAGTGCACCCTATATTTATAATTATTTTATTGGCATATTTAAAAAAAAAGTGTACCTTAAGTTTTTTGGATGTCCTTTATGTTTCGATTTTTTTTTACTTAAACCATTGAAATAACGTAATATTTTTTAACGTCATTTAGTTGAGCATATGTTTGGTAGAATTTTTTTTTCACTGTTTACTTATAATTTTATATTGTAATAAAGATATCAATAAACTAGTTTTAACCACGGCTCTTCACTAAGTAATGACATTCAAAGTGAAATAACAGTTAGTTTATCAGTATGTGAACTGATCTAATAACATCATTCAACGGCTTAAACCATATATTTTCGAAAAACCTATACAAAAATTAAGTAAAACAACATATTTTTTTAAATTAATTTTTAAATCGAAGTCTCAGAATTTTACCGGGTGGAATTTTCCCCTGATTAACGCGAGTTTAAATGGTTTGAAGAAAATATACTAAATTAGATAAAAGATTTTTCGTTTGCAACATTACAAAACATCTCATTGGCCACCCACCATCTTGGCAACGATTTGGCAAAAATGATAGTCAGTGGAGCAAATTGTTAAGCCGCGTCTCCACCAACGTTTTGTTGCCAACACAACAGTTGCCAACAAAACTTGTTTCCATTTTCGGCGGCAACATCAAAGGAATACGCTTGTTGCCAACATTTGTTCCCTCGGTGGAGACGCTTGTTGGAAACAGTTGGAAACATAACTGTTGTCAACATTTTTGGTGGATACGCGGCTTTACACAGTGGAACGATAAAGCTGCGTGCATAACGAAGCATTCCTTTAGTATCACTTAACATTCTTTATATTTTATTTTGTAATTAAAATAGACGCAAATAATTTTTGAACTAAACAAAATGCAGATTTTTTATTTGTTTATGTAGTGCATTGTAACATGACTGACTTTAGTAAGAATTTTAATGGTTTTCAATTTATTTGTGTTTAAAATCGAAAAAAATTCAAGTAAGTACCTATATCTACTAATAATAATTTGCTTTAATAATTTTCCATGAAAGACGCATTTTAATACAACTTGCATTACATATGTCGATGAAAAAACATTAGCGATTATAGGTAATTATTATAAACACGACTTTCCGAATAAGGTGTTGTATCATTTTAAATAGCCGTGGTTGCTTAAGGGCATAGCGCTCGCTGTAAATTTCACAGGAGGCCAGCAATCTGGGTTCAACTTCATCCGGCACTAATTAAATTTTTAATTGCGCTATTAAATGCTAATTTATCACGTGCTCGGCGATAAAAGAAAACATGGCGAGGAAACCTGCATGTCTGAGAAAAAAAAATCATAAATTTGAAAACGAATTATTTAGAAAATTTCTACTTACTTGACGATATCAGCAGATGTACTGCTGGTAAAAGAGAATGTCGTACTGAAAAAGGAACTAAGAGAGAACAGGTACGATATCTTACAGATACATTGGCCAATCTAAATAGAATATATGTAATAGTTTAAAAGTTTTGTATTGTTTTAATTAAAGAAGCTTATTTAGTTTTCCTAGTTAATATATTTAACTCAGCAAAATAATTTAAATGTGTTTGTAAAGAAATTAAAATTGGATAAAACAATCCTTCCTTGTAATCAGAGACCTTACTTTTCCACTGACTATCTTCAACGTTCCAATGATTAACTGTCCCACTAACAAACATCTAAAAGTAAGGGTTTATTTTGCCTTTCATGTTCAATTAATAATATTTTAATTTTTGTTATGAAGACAACAAGTTTGTTGTTCTGTAAAATTATTTGAAAAAAAAAACAGTAAGGCCCGCTTTTCACTATGGGATATAATATAATATATATTACTTACATCTCGAGATATAAATTAATATCGCTCACCATACATTTTATATGGAACCGTTTACACTGAGCTATAATATATATTACATCTCAAACTATAAATATTTTTTCGATCGACTGAGCGATATTTTCATATTATATTACGCCCCCTGTACCCCGCACACCGTTCCGCGCCCCCGTAGAACGGTGTACGGGGTAAAGGGGGGTAATCCAATGACCAATGACGAACGCACACTGGTTAAAAGATATATCCCACAGTGTGAAAGCCAATCGTGGGATATAATTTATATTTCGGGATATAATATATATTATATCCCATAGTGAAAAGCCAGCCTAATAAATGGTCAAAGAGCGTAGAGGGAGTAGTTTATTCTCTCTCTACGCCAAAGAGTATAATAAGTATAAATGGTTATTTAAATACCTAGTTACAAAGAAAAACACGCAACAAGTTAGTCAGAGAGTTATATTATATAAACGTATGATTATTTTAATTTTTATTTCCGTTGTCAGAAGAAAATGTTTATTTTTTTCATCTATAAACATATATTATATAAATAAAAATATGCTTTTCGTTGAACCCGTTTTATTTAATTAACTGTGTTAGATATTAAATTGTTATTCAGTGGAACCCAAAATCCTATTACTGAATTTCATTAACTTATTATAAGTAATTTATAGCAGTTATTCAAATATATTACATTTTATTAAAAATTATCTAATATATTTTATGAATTTAACGACACATTGAAAAAAATGCATAAAAAATTACGACCTTCATTTTAACTTTAAAAAATCCGCCCACCTGCGACAGGATAATAGTTCTATGTAACGGCGGCTCTTCACGTTGGCCAACACGCTGGCCAATGTGTTGGCCAACAACGATGGCCATCGTGTAGAGCGGGTGTTTAAGCTACGTTGGTACGTATTGGAACGATGGCCCACAAGTTGTCGCGAGATCCGTCTGGTGTCGGTTTTTTACAAAAGATCAAAGGGTTGTGGCAGAGTATTGGCCGCCGCGTCCACACGTTGGCCGCACGTTCAGTTTGCTACGAGCTCCCAGAGTGAATGCACGCACCTGATTTAAATTTTATATGCACGCAATAGTGTCTACATAACGGCAGTAACAATGACCAATGAAAAAACTTTTCGCTTTATAGAGCCCTACCAAGCCGAAAATTGTTTATAAAACACAAGTCTTTTTAAAAAAAATATTATTATACACTAGGATTTTCTCCTGTATCGTGGAGGCAGATTAGAAACATAAATTGCATAAGGACAAACATCCAGACCCGGAGAAATTATGTGCAGGCTATACAAATACTTGTTCCGTGCGGGATTCGAACCCGCGGCCCCCAGGGCAGCAACTCATTGCTAAGCCACTACGCCACGGAGCCGTCAAGAAATAAAATTTCTTTTTTCCATTTCTTTTTGATCACCCTTATCTTATACACATTCACGTTGTAGTGATTGATGTATTAATTTATTTATTGATGTATTAATTGATTTATTAAATATCTTAAAATATATAATATATATTAAAATCAAATTAAAAAGTAGGATACTAAAATCATGTTTTTACTGTCTTTATTATTCCCTATTAGTTACTTCATTTCGTTAATAATACTGTAATTTTTAGCTATGGAAGAGCGAAGTCACCTGTTACAGGCATTATTTTGCTTACTAGGTGACCTCGATCACTGATCATATAATGTAACTTTAATGTTTGACGAAATAAATTATTTATTATTATTATTAAGTTCGCCATATGTACTACTTTGTGCATGAAAGTGTAAATAAATAAATATATTCTATAATTATAT